GGGGGGGGGTGAGGGTTTAGCTTTCCTCTTGTCAACTTTACGTTCGGTCAATTTGTCGTGTGCAGGGTGAGTAGCAGTTAATTGTCTGCTGTATGAGACCATTGAATCTCCTTGTATTTGTTGACGGGAAAGTAGCGCAGTGGTTTATTTAGGTCTTGCTGATTGGACAGAGTAGTCAAACGTTTAGTCAACACTGAAGGGCATAGAACTGCCGAAGAACAAGAGAAAGGACAAAGTGTTTTTAGAAGTGGCCTGATTTGTAAGGGTCACTTTAATTCGCTGCTAAAATACCGATTCCCCGTGTTGTCATTGGACTTGATTGTGTGGGAAGCTAATGAGTGTTTTCATTAGTACTTTTGAATCTTAATGGGGGTAAAAATAAGTCTTAAGGTTTTTGTTATTGTGCACTGTAAGCAAGTTCAGTTCTCTGAAACTTTTAACGTTTGGCAGTATAGTTAGGAAATAAGCTGAAATACTGCACTATGTGATATTAAAATCATAGTGAAGTTTGCATTTTGGGGTGTTGTCTTACATAGTTTATTAAAGAGAATGTGTAACAGAACTGTATTTAAATTGTGCAGCTTTTCATCTGAAGCTTCTTCTATTTATCCTAAGACATTTATGTACATTAGGCTACATAAAATGGCATTACAGAATGCATTACATAAATTGGCAGAACATTCTGTGGTCCTTAGCTGTACACTTTAGGTACTTTGCAACTTTTGACACTGACTTGCTAATAGTGTTACTTGCAGAACTTGTTTCCTTCTACAGAAGTAAACAACTGTCATAATACCTTCTTTTACACCTCCTGATTTCTTCATGAAAATTCAGCAAAATTCTGTCTATTTTAATCACATGGGACAATTTTATTAATGTTATACAGATGGAAATTTCCAAGGGCAAATATTAAAAGGTGAAGGAAGTGGAAACTGAAATTGATGCATAACCTTCACTCTGTCCAATACGGAGGTTGTATTTCATGATCAGATTGATACTGACTGATCCACAGATTTTGTGATTTTACACTGGTATGCTGAAGTGCTTGTGCTGCATCAATGCAGACGAGTTATTCGCGGTTTTGGGCATCGTGGTTATATGGATGTTGTAGAATGCCCTTGAAATAGCTTCTTATTTTCAGAAACTATATACAGCACTAATAAAAGAATTTATTTAAACAGTACTAAGAATTACTTCTAAAAATGCAATTTACCTGAACTTTTATGTAGACATACTATAGCTGGGATTGGTGTGGCAAGTGCTGATATGGGTTCCATGAGGTGCTTGTTATCTCGCATCACAGGCTGCTTGTGATCGTGTTTCTTATACCTATAGGCTTCAGTTTTACAGAGGGCTGAATTGTAAAATGTTTCCTTTCAGCTTTTTGTGCACATGGAAAAAAGATATTTTTTTTTTACTCTTACAAACCCTTGCCCTCCCAAATTGTGTACAATTTTACGAAGATACAGTGTAGTTCCTCTGTGATGCTGTATTAGTTAGCTAGATGCTTAGTACTGCCTGTTTTGGTTCCTTTGGTGGAATAAAGCACAACTCAGGAAAAACTGGTGGAATCTGTATGCAGGCTGCTTAATGCGAAGAATAAGTCTCTACCCAATTTGGGGAAGTTGTACCTTTATGGTTACATTAGCAAAACCCTCCCAGTATGAAAACAGAGGCTCCAGTTTGAGGAGATAGTCAGTGCTAAAGAGGCCAGCAGTCTTCCTAATGTGAATACAACTAAACCAAAATAAACTGTCAGCAAACCTGACTATTAAAAGAGTTGTTTTGCTAATATAACTGCAAACAATAACTGTGTTGGTCGTGGCTCAGATGTGTTGATACCCTGTCTGACATGGCCATGTGCATCTGTAGTGTTTCCTTAGGCCTCACAGATGTGGCGCTTAGGGACATGGTTTAGCGGTGGACTTGGCAGTGCTAGGTTTATGGTTTAACTTGATGATCTTAAAGGTCTTTACCAACCTAAATGATTCTATGATTCCATGAAGGGTCCTATCAGTGTAGGCACAACAATAGAAATATAGTTGGGGACTTCTGGAATTGTGGTCTTTGGAAAGGTACTGAATCTAGTGTGCTTTTTCACCACTAGCTTTTATCGCGTTTTTGAATGATAAAAGCAGACACCTTCAGGTGTGTTTTTTACAGTGTTTGTATCTTATGTTCACCTGTGTTATGCTGGTCTGAATTAGGGATGGTGTAGAGAGGCACTTCAGTCTAACCAAAGCTTTTGCCAAAAAAAGTAGTCTTTAAGTATCACTTATTTTTGTTAAAATCCTGGGTTAATTAATGTTCTCAAAATGACTATCCTTGTTCACCGATTCTTTCAGAACATTATTGTAACATTCAGTGTAAAAATCTAGGTGGTATTGTCAGTGTTTGGACTTTTCCCTCCAAATCTGCTTTCAAAAATCTGCGTGATTCGTTTAGACTATTTGCATTAGTTGTCTGTTTGCTTGAGGGTATTGCTACTGTGTGTTTTTTACCATGTGATAAGTTAATTTTTGTGTGTGTTTTTTTTTTTTTTTTTAATTTTTGGGGGTGCTTAATGTCACTGCTAAAACATGATTCCCTGCTTTATGAGGTTCTTCAAAAGTTAATTTCAGATCAACTTTTAATTATAACTGGCAAAACATATTTTATTTTACTTCTGAAGTAAAATTAGTCTCCAAAAATGAATACTGTTATTGGAGTCCAGTACAGGAACATCTTGAATTACTCATGGGCTTTCTGTATAGGACAGTAATTGTTGCCTGAAAGGCTGTGGCTGCAGAATTTCTGTGGTGTGTCAGGCAGGAAAAAAGAGGGGCATCTGAAGAGTTGGTTTGGGGTGCAGTTGAGATTCAGCTAGCCCGGTCTAACTGCAGTGAACTGAAACAGATGGTCCTTCACCTGGCTGGTTCCCGCTTTGTCCTTTGTGTCCCATATAGCGAACATATTTCTTCAGGGTGGAGTGTTGCCATGCCTTCTGGTAACAGCTGGCAGGTTTCAATAGTTTTATCACAAAATTCGACTTTTGGTAGCATAGTGCAGAATCTGTTTAACCACGTCAGCTTGGTTTGGTACAGTCAGGCCTAGTTTTTCTTCATTAATTTTATCAGTGTTAAGAAAAATATGAGGTACCAGTCCTTTAGCCCATCCGTGCAGGGGCATCTCTGTGCCTGTGCTGAGTTGTACAAGGAGCTCTGTAGCTTCACATTATTTGTTTAGGTTGTGAAATGTATTAACGACATTTTGTAAGCCTTAGGAGGTTAAAAGAATATTACTAAGTCAAATTTACAGGATTACTTGAGGTATCTAAAACATGTTTTCATAAATCGCCAACTGTTCAAAATAGAGTACTTTTAAATTATAATATCAGTATGAAATGTTTTTAAAAAATCTTCCTTTTCAGGAATACAAATGAGTTAGCACTGTCATGAAAGCGAAAGTGAAACCAACTTCACTGAGTTTCTGGTTTTTGGTTTTATTTTTGTGGAAGACATGGAAAATTACTAATAAACAAATAGTGATGACTCCATCTGTAGTTTAGAAAGTCTCTTTAATTTCTTTTAATAGGACATTTTAAATAAATAAAGGTCTTCAATTTACAAAGTTGGACTATATTTTAGTATTTACTGATACACTTTCTTAAATTAAGAACATTAACATTTGGCATTAGATTCCTGTGTATTTCACTTCCCCCCCGCCCCAGCTCTCAGCTGAAGTGCCCAGGTAGTACTCCAGAAGCCCCTTGTTAGCTCTTTGTTTTCTGTATTCTACGCATGAAGTAACTAATTGTGGAATAAAAATAATGGTTTAAAAACAGTAGGCTGTAAGTATATGGAGAGATCTGTACAGGTTGGGATTGCTTGTGGTGATTGATCTCTATGGGATTTAAACAATGATGGGACAAATTTAAAAAATAGTTTTGTTTCTGTCTTACTTACTGATTGATTGAAGAAAGTTGTTAATAATTTCAGGAACAAAGAATTACTGTTTTATTATCTTATTTGAACCTACACCAGGCCACAATGGAAATGAAATGATGCTTGGGATTTACAGTATAGGATTTCTAGGTTACAATTACAAATTTAGACTTTATCTTTGAATGGTGGGAAAGAATTGCACTGCTTTGCTCCATAAGACCTTTGCCCCATACGGCACATGGCACAGATCCTTATGCAAGAACATACCTCGTTCTGAGTCAGAAGTGTGTCTTGTCCAGAACGTTGAAATGTCAAAGCCTAAGTCTTGAAATACTCTTTGAATTTCAGATCTGTGGTGTGGTAATATAATGAGACCATCATGTTGTAAGATAATGACTGACTGTCAGTAGGAAACTATATAATTAACTCATATTAGATGCTTGTGGATTTTTTCCCTGTTGGTGACATCTCAAATTCTCCTTGTTTGAAAGGAAGCTATGAATGATGGACTTGCATTTAGCTGACAACAGTGATTACACTG